CAAACCACATGAACCATCACGGATTAACTGGTCTACTGATTCACTATTTTAACCACAAATTGTTTTTTATAAAAATACTTTAACGTAAGCTAAGACCATCAAACCATAATTATTAATTTTATATTTGCTTCCTCTTTTTATTTTTCAACCTTGTTGTCGACTTTACCTGGTCAGTTACCAACTGACACCATAATTTTAAGTTGAATTAAAAAAATTATGATTTCTTTTGTGTGATGGTTTGAATGATTTATTATATATTTTTGTGATTGATATGAATTGAAATTTTGTATGGTTATTGATAACTCCATTCTTAAATTAGTGTAATATACAAGTCTTGTATATTATACGTCATGAACGGTTATATCAACCGTTAATCAATGGTTTTATAACGGTCAACCACTAAACTCTAAACCACTTACTTTCCGGTTCAGCCTCCGGCCCGATCCTAAAAACAGAGGAAATGACCTACTGTTCTTGAATGGTTCTATCTATTAAGAATGACTTGCCGAACTAGAAGAGTTACGTAAAGGTATCTATGTTGTATAACAGTTTCTACGTTAACAAGTCTGATGTTAGCTCAATCATCTAGCTCAAATTACAAATTGCTAGTTGAAAATTAACCGTGTTTATGTTAAAGGTTTGATGTTGGCTCAATTAGTAGTTAGCCGTAGTAGTTAGTTGAAACTTAACAAGTAAGCATATGTTAGCAATAGCAGATGGAAGGGAGAGCTGAGAGCTGGGTTCTTCGAGAGAGGGGGTGAAAATGGGCAAAAGACCCACGAGATAAACCATTCATACATAAAGGGCAATTATGTATTTTCTTAGTAATAACCTAAAATACCATACTAACAATTCCACACTCCACAACTCTATCCAAACATGGAAATCTTTTCAATTACCTTTTCAATTACCATAGGACAATTCCTAGGTTTTCAATGTTGTGAAAATTGGGACAAATTTCCACGTTTTAAAATTTCCACATCCAAACGACCCCGTAATATGAATTTGTAGCACAAACAAAACAAGGCCTAAAATTATTTAAAGTTGTTCTTTCTGAACAAACTTCGAACCCATTTTATATGAAATCCTGACAACGCTACTGGGAAGTATTGGGACAATATTTAGAAAGTCTTATATCCTACAATAAACCTGAAGCCCATAGGATTGAAAATGAGTTTCATACTTCCAATTTACAAGATATGAATGGTCATCTATCTGGAAAATAATATACAAGCGAGTCAAATCCTGTTGCTTTGACAGAGCTCCAAGAGTCGTAAGGAGTTTGCGGAAGGACTGGTGAAGGAGGCACACCACTACAACGGCTTCAACTTGATTCTCTCGGACATTTCGTCGAACACCATGGTGTACATCTCCAACCGGCCGAAAGGAGAAGCTGTCATTTTCCAGGACGTTTCCCCTGGTCTTCATGTCCTCTCCAATGGAAAGCTCAATTGTGGCTGGCCCAAGGTTGGTTTCGGTTTTTCGTCTTCCACTTTTGGGATTGTGGGTCCCCTTTTCTCCATTTAAAGCCAAGGGGTTTGATTGTTGAATCCAATTGCAGTCTCAGAAGCTGAGAAAGGGTTTCAAAGAACAGCTATTGAAGTATGGTGACGGGGAAGTTCATCTGAAAGAGATAGCAAAAAAGTTAATGACTGACACAGTTAAAGCTGACAAGAAGAAGCTGCCTGGCATTTGTGCTGTGGAATGGGAGCTGGCTTTAAGCTCCATTTTTGTGGAAGTAGACACCCCACTGGGATGGTGTGGCACCAGGAGCACTATTGCTTTGACTGTGGGGAGAAATGGGGAGGTTTGCTTTGATGAGACCTACCTGGAAGATGGAACATGGAAGGAGAAAACTACCAATTACCAGATCAAGAACCTCAGACAGCTGAACAAATTACTTTGCTAATTCCTACTACTAACTCAATAAGATACGGTAAAGAAGCATGTCAGCATACGTTCCAGTCAATCTGTAAATGTTGACTGATCATAAACATGTATGAGACCGACAATCTGTTACAATCCAAGGACCGTGACCGATCTACTAGCAAATTTCATCTGAATGATATGAAGAGAAACAGCTTTATCAGCACGCTATGTAATGTGATGGCCAAAACGCTATTGCCATATAAGAGTTCACACAGACAGTTCTTACTCTGCATACTCGCAAATGCATTCCCATCACTCCAAAATATATTTCGATTCCCCTGCACCTCTGCAGCATCAAAACAAAAACACGAAGTAAATCATCCATCAAAGGCTTTTCTGCAAACATTAAAGCTCCATAACACGAAGCGAAAAGGAAATATTACATACATTAATGAACGAGTTCCAGGCTGCTAGTCTTGCAGTTCACATTTCTTGCCAAGTTCTGAACTCCATCAACCATTCCAGCGGTCCAAAGCAAGCAGCTGCACTCAACTTGTTGCACGATGGATTCAATTGTAGAGGTAATTCATTTGTGAAAGGCCAGGCAAAGTTCCAGTCATGGTTCCTGCATCTTGTTTCTCAAAACCTTCTGCAGTGAAAATCAATGCCAAACTATTCTCCCAGCCTTCTGTTGCTTAACAGGTTCATTTCCAATGAAAGCAAACGTATACATTAGCAAGTACCAATCCAACTCAATCATAAGAACAACCACACACACCCATAAGGAAAGAAATTCGGCTTCAGTTTAACATGGCGCAAAAGTTCCAATCTTTCGAGCGTTACAGTTCATACATTTCACACCAACAACAACCCTATTCCAACAAAAAGACAAAATATCTTCGCAAAGAGTTGCAGAAGCCAGGGGGAAGAGCATCAGTAAAGTGAACTTGTCAACAGTACTTACCTGAATGTTCAGAGATCAAGTGTAAACCATCACTTGCCACTCCCCCAACCTCGCACAATAAATTTTCATTTAAACCCTAGAAACCCAAATCACAGCTCGCAAAACAAACCCTAACCCGGAAGAAAATCAGCACGATTCCAAATCCAGCAGAGAGAACGAAAAACACAGAAGCAGATTCAGTTAAAAACTAAGCAATAGAGAGCGCCTGGAAATGACGGATTGACTCGAAGTTCATTCCCATGGCTTCCAGCGGAAACCAGCCGAGCAGGAAAGAAAACTCTTTGGAAAAGCACGACACCGTCATATCTGGTTTATAGCCGCGGGAAAGGAAACGGAAAACCTGAAAGGCTGTCATAGGCTTTTGGGCCGCGATTTTCCACGATAACTGGGCTTATACAAGAACTGGCCCGTAAGAATAAACCCCATCATTGGCCCATTATTGTCAGAGTGGGAAGGGGGATATATCTGAACTAGGTTTTTCTTTGCCCGCGCTCTGTGCCGGGATGGGTGGAACAATTAAGATATTGTATTTTGATGTATATATAAGCTTGATCCTATTGAGGTTCTATTCTAAAATCATCAATAGTTGTTCAGGCTGAAATAGCATGTACATTTGGAATTCATATCGATCCCAGAAAAGCTACAAAATTTGTGATATATCATTCATTAATGGAATACACATGCCTTGACTTCTTAGAGCCATATAATATCCTAGGAGACTTGCACAAAAGTTGCTGAGAAACATAGTAGTAAATACACAGAAGTACATTAAGTCCTAAACTGTTTGAAATTGTCTCTGAGATAGTCAGTGCAGGTAGATGGGGAATCTGTGCCTGATAGTTATTTGTACAATAATTTCCAAGGAAACTGATGATCACTTGTCAAAGGCTGAGGTGTTCCACAATGTTGCCACTCTTATTTGTATGCGAGCTGGAGGATCTGTGGAGTTCATATTTGGCCACCCAATGTATAATTGTCCTGCAAACACCTTCGCACAATTTTGCCAATCATTGTTTTGATTGTTTCCTTCTCCAGCTTGCGATATCTTCCAGGTGACATACAAATGATTGACAGAGCTGCCTCATGATCCATTATGACCTCAATTTCGCCTGAATCGTCACGTAACATTGCTTGAATTTCATAGTGGGGTCTTACAATTAGAACAAATGTGTTAGTTATGTTGAAAATGTTTTCTAAGTCAAAGTCAAAGTTTGTGCAGGTGTATGCCTCTCGAAACTCAAACCATGTGTTTATAAGACGAGCGACGACACTGCGGTGGTTTATTCCCAAACGTATCCCTCGAAAAGTAGCGGATGATTGGAGGGTTTCTGAAATTGTGTCAAAGACCACCAGAAATAGACAAACATAAACGGCATATTTTGTAGATGTATCTAGACGTTTAAAGGAACACCTATTGAGATGGAATGTGTTTACTTCGGCTGTTGCTGGTGACCATGCAATCTTCTATCGTGGTCATGCGTTTCTGGTGCGAAGCTTCCATGGTGGTAGGGACCTTTGTTTATGAGCTGTCTTTTTGAATTGTAAATTCTGTGAGTGGAGTTAGAAGTAGAAGGCGATTTACCTTTGTTTAGGGCTTCTGTTGGTTCGTGGAGTAAACTTCAGCTGAGGATAAGAGTCTACTTCTGGAAATAGAATTTCTTTTTGTAGGGTAGTGCAGGGTCCGCGACGTTAGTCAATGTTGTGAAATTGGGCCAAACCATTTATGTGGGCTGATATTTAAATTTGGCAGGGGAGGTGTATTTTCATTTGTGGCCCAAAATTGTTGTCTTGCAAAACGTTAAGGAGTCTGTCGTTTGGTGTAAACAATTTATTTGTATGTTCTTTAAAAAGTTCGATCGAAGGAGCATCATAAAATATTCTATTGTGTCATTCTGCAAGAACAGGAAGAACATGAAGAACCTGCCCAGAATTCAAAACGCAAACAATGTCTCCTGCTAGTTTATTTGGTAGATACAATATTAAGGGCGGAAAGTAGTTTCTCCATGTGCCCCAAAAGATCGTTTTGTGTTCCAGATGACTCCTGCATTGTTGTAAAACGTGATTAGTCACTATCTCATAGACCATATTCATAAATTTTCTTTGAGTAGAACATGAAATGTGTCAGAATAAACTTTAAGGCTTACCTTCATAATCATGGATGGAGAACTTAATTTCCTGTGATATCTGTGAATGCTTCTGAGAACACAATGTTTCTTGTGTGATTTCCTGGAACACCCTCTTCATTTGTTATCAGAAACCTCAGCCCAGCTGCAGATCTGACTCTGGATACGGCCACATACAATTGGCCATGACTGAATACTGGATTCGGTAGATAAATTCCAACTTTATCTAGGGTTTGTCCCTGGCTTTTGTTTATCGTCATCCCATAACATAATCGAACAGGAAATTGACGTCTCTTGAGGATGAACGGCCATTTTTTGTCCTCAATGTTGAGCACAATTCGTGATATTGCTACAGGTTTTCCATCAAAGGATCCTCCCATGATATTTCCTATGATGCTATTCTGACCCAACGACGTTATCATCAATCGTGTTCCATTGCATAAACCACTTGGGGGGCTTAGATTTCTGAGCAACATTACTGGAGTGTTAGCTTTCAGTCTTATCTCGTGATCTGGCACACCATTGAACGATAAAGTATTCAGAAAATCAGTGGGATAAGTTTCACTAAGGGGTCGTTTGCTTCAAGGATTTGGTACATGGATTTGGTATAAAAAAACCAACTATCAAGGATTTAGGTACAATCCGTTGTTTGCTTGCACCTTTTTTGGAGATCAAATCCGTGGGGCCCACGGATTTTAAGGGTCCAAATCCGTGGACCCCACGGACTTATAAATCCCACATGTTGATGTGGGATTTGGAATATGGCATAAATCCTTGATGAGATTTTACCCATATACCCTCATGCACTTTTAATATTCCAAGGTTGCCCTCAAATTTAACTATTATACATTATAATTAACAATAAATGAATAATATAAACGTTCAATTAATGTGCAAACATGAGTTAGATTTTTTATATAATTTCTTGTGTTCTAGTTTTCTTTGACCTTTTCATGGAACGTGTAATTCTTTGTTCTCCCGATTCTAATATATGTTGTTATATGTTACTTTTGAAAAGGAGGACAAAGAATTGGTAATTGATTATGTTACGTTAAAAGTTAAAACGGAATTTTCTCGTTTATTATTATTGTCCATGTGGCAACATTATGCTTATTAGTATGTATTGTCCTTGTTTTGTGTACATATCATAAACATGTCAAACATATAGAAAATGATAGTAAGGTAATTTTGAAGTTTTGTCCTTGTTTTGTGTACATATCATAAACATGTCAAACATATAGAAAAGGGCAGTAATGTAATTTTTGACTTCAAGTAGTAAATCACACACCTTTAAATCCATGATAAAAACATCCCAACAAACAAAGGATTGTTACAAATCCATGATGCCTCAAATCCTTGATAAATCCTTGGGTTTTTAAATTACAAAACCCTCATTTTTAAATCCATGAAGCAAACGACCCCTAAATGATTCAGAGACCTCTTTATCTAGGTGCATGGAATCGGAACTGTAGTAGCAATGCCCTTCTCCTGGCAGTTATTGCAACATGTAATCATTGATTTCAGTAACAACAGCATTTGTTGGAGTCACAATCGCTCTTCCTTCTAGGTACTTTGTGTCTTTATAGCAATCTGCAAATGATTCATATATTTCTTCTGTTATTGATTGAAGTGGATTTTTTCCAGGAATCACCAGAAATATTTCTGGTATCTCAATCCAGTCTGAAGGAGTGTTCGAACTAAAGGAGTTTGTATCCAACTTTCCATCTCCAAGAGCGAGAACCCATTCTCCAAATTTAAGGCCACAGGCTACTATCACATTGTTTTCTTGTGAATCATTTAGTCTCATATTCTTTGAAAGTCTCAGCATCTGAAAAGAATTCCACAATGGTGATCTTGTGATTGATCCATCAACTGTCTGTTCCCTTCCTGAATTTTGAATGACAGGTAAAGTTTGCCTGAAATCTCCACCTAAAATAATTGTTTTACCCCCAAATAGTTTATGTCCTGTTCCAGATAGAGGAATCTCCATCAAATCACAAAATGTCCTGCTAATTGCCTCAAATGCATGTCGATGTGTCATTGGCGCTTCATCCCAAACAATTAACGAAGCCTCGCATATTAGTTCAGCTAAATGTGTACCCTTCTTTATAGAACATGTCGATGTGTTGTCCAAGTGGAGTGGGATCTTGAATCTAGAATGAGCAGTTGTGCCATTTGGAAGTAGTGTTTCTGCAATTCCAGAGGAAGCAACAACAATCACTATTTTGGACAAACTCTTGAGCTTTGTGATTATTGCATTGTACAGGAATGTCTTGCCTGTTCCTCCATGTCCATATAAGAAAAAGGACTTCCCTAGATTGTTGTTGATTGATAGCATCACCGATGAGAAAGCTTCAAATTGATTTGCATTGAGTGCGCAAAGCATTTCTTCAGCAGCTTGTTGTTCCTGAGTAGTGTCAAAGTTTAAATGTTGGTTTATCAGGGGATTTGAACCATCATCAGGTTGTGAATATGTTGGTTTAGGAAGGTGGAAATGTTTGAGGGAGGAACCATAAGATCTCAATAAGGTTTCCAGTTGATGAAGCACCCAATTTCGCAGTCTCTCCTCTGAGGGCTGATATGTGTTTGAATGAAGCTGCTTTCGAAGATAATATGCATGATCTTCACCCAAAAGTCTCCAAGACGTCTCGAACAAAGCAGTTGGATTAGGTATTTCACAAAACATGAGCATTGAAATAAATGTGCTCCTTATCAGATTTGGCATGATTGAAGTTGATATTTCCTGAAGAACCTTAATCCATTCTGAAGAATCAGATAAGAGACCTAATTTTTCACACGCTTTTTCATAAGTACTGCAGAGCTCTCCTCAAACAGTCCTTAAGTCATTAAAGTTGGTTGCTCCTTGTACCTTTGTCAACAATAGTCTAAGGAAAAAGACATCACTACTTCCTGGAGGAACATAAGCAATTCTTCCAATGGCAAATCCTCTTTTCCTCAATGTCCACTCATTGTATTCTTCATCCCATGTGTATGAACCTGGTATCTGAGCATATGTTAGCTTTCTAGCATCAGGGTCCTGTCTATTAAGTTGAAACCAAGCTGTCAGATGTGTTTTGCCAGCTCTGGGATTCTTCAGAATGTTTTTCACACTTGATTGCCTCTTATAAGGAACATTTTGTTGCCCTTGCAAGTGTACTGCAAGTCGGACAACATTTGGTTCCCTATGATGAATAGGATATTCATTGATTCTCTAGACAGCTTCATAAGAGGATAAGGATCTACAATCAATGAATTCTTGTATTTCATCTTTTGACTTCTTTGAATTTGTGGAGGGAACTTGTTTTGAAGTCACTGAATCTTCAGCAATAATGAGGGATCTATCTGGTCCTTTAGTGATATACTTAAATAAGTATTTCATCAATCCTCCTTTATGACATATCTCAACATTAATGTGAGCCTGAGCTCTAACCAGTAAATTCCTGTTATATGGAACGACATATCTATTATCCAGCATAACTTTTCCTTTTTCACGTGTACTCCAGAATTTCTATGTCGATAGACTACATTTCTAAACTTGTCAAATGAAGTTTCAGTGCTGAATGCTTTGGGGAAGAACTTTGAACACTTCCCATCTTTCATGCAAGGTGATTTAGGGTTGTCAATTCCACATGGTCCATGAAGCATGAACTTGACCACAGCTGCATATCCTTCTGGATCTACATGAGGATCTGGAATCTCTGCTGAAATCATCTCATCAATGTCACTGGTTGTTTTTATTTTATCCTCTTTGGCTAACCATATCAGCATGTGTACATGAGGGAGGCCTCTTTTTTGAAATTCGACAGTATAAATAACTGGAGAAAAGAATTTGTGTATCCATTAGCACTTTGTAACACTCACTGCAAGTATATAAAAAAATATCACGTCTATTTGAGTATTTGATAATATAACCTGCACTAACTGACACAAAACTAATGGTAGAACTAATATGCCTGTATTAGTATTTACCAGCACACTCTTTGTAAATGATTACTGGGCTGAAATATGGTTCTTGAATGTCAAAATATGCATAACATAAAAGCAAGTATAAAACACTTACTTGCTATTGTTTTGCCAAAGTACGATTCTCGTTTGAATTCATCAATGAGCTTGGTCAGTTTCATATGAAATACCCGACAAACGACCATTGGCTTCAACTCACTGTTCAAACCCACCACATCTGCAAACGCCTCAACAATTTCTTCCCAAAGTGCATTACACGTAAATGTAATGAACAAATCAGGATTTCCATAGTGCTGACAGGTTGCCATGGCATCGTGATAAAGTTGTTGCATATATCTAGGTCCTCCGGTGTACGAACAAGGTATAATAATACGACCAAGTTTCTCACCGTCCATATCTCCTCTAGCAAATGCATCTTCCAAACCTTGATACACTTCAGATCTCAGGTCCTTTTGATGGGTTCTAAGGAATGCCAATCGATTGAGCTCTATTGTTGAAAATGCATCAACACAATAGTGTTGTAGTGCTTTTCCACTCTTGACCAACGTATGGCCTTCACCTATCCGATACTGAAGCCTAAAAGCATAGTATTCTCTTTGCGTAACAAACTTCCTGCGCATTGATGGAGGACAGAAGGAAATGTTATATGAGATTTGGGGGGTGAAAACCATCCTCTCCATAAGGAAATAATAAAAGAAAGTGCAGCGCTTCAAATTTTGGATTCAAACTTGTTATTCGCTTCAATCCTCCATTTTGATAATCTACAATGATATCTCTGTCTTCTCTATCGGGAACAAAATCTCCCGGTATCAAGGCTGCAACATCACTGCTAGTTGGAAGATCGTATTGTCGATTCCTACTTTTGATTCCAAATATTCGAAGGCGTAGATTTGGTGTTGAAGACAATTGTAGATTCTGCCGGATGCGTCTAAATGTCTTCACCAATTCATTTGTTTCATCAAGCATCCTGAGTAAAGATGCCAGTAACTCAGGTAACAACACCTCTTCTCGAGTTGAAAAGTTTGCTAATCTATTGTCAACCTCACTATCAGGTTCAAAGATATATAGCTGAGCAAACTTTGGTCGTTCTCCTTCAACTGGCAGCAAGGAACCAATTCTATGATAGTTCTCTCCGCAAATCACCATCGAATAAGGTCCTCGACTTGTTAGAGATCGAGGATCCAGTTTTGCTCCAAAAGATGTGAAACATAGCGACCCATTATAAGGCCTTATATTTTCTCTAAAATGCTTTGATAATGCTCCACCATTGATGTCAAGTAACTGGGCAAGAAGGGGAGGTGGCTGCTTCAATAATGGGAGCTTCACTCTTCCTTTTTGACAACACAGAGTATACACCGGAGTAGCTGTCTTTCTATGACGATCCAATCGTTCATAGTACCAAAACAATGCCCCACAGAACCGACAAACACATTCTGGTTTTCCAACATTCAGTATATCATTATGCAGTGGTTTTCTTGCAGTGCAAACCTCTTTGCTGGCAAAGCCAGATTTC